TCAAAATAATAGCAGTGTGGAGTTCTATTAGTGAGGTCATTCATTCTTTGAAAAACAGGTGGCAATTATTGCCCTTATTTAAGGAAGGAAGGCAGCAAATGTTGTATATGCTGGTTACAGTGCATTTCTCTCTGAAATTCTGAGGAAAATGGGTCGTTCCAGACATTGTTCAGAAGAACAGCGTAACCTTGATTAAAAGATTGATTGGAGAGGGGAAAACATATAAAGAAGTGCAGAAAATGATAGGCTGCTCAGCTAAAATGATTGCAAATGCTTTAAAATTCAACCAAAACCTGAAAGACGTGGAAGAAAGCGAAAAACTACCATTCGAATGGCTAGAATAGCCAAAATGGCAAGGACTCAGCCAACAATCAGCTCCAGGAAGATCAAAGAAGGTCTAAAGTTACCTGTGAGTACTGTTACAATTAGAAGACGCCTATGTGAAGCCAAGCTATCTGCAAGAAGCCCCGCAAAGTCCCACTGTTGAAAAAAAGATATGTGCTGAAGAGGTTACAATTTGCCAAAGAGCACATTGATTGGCCTAAAGAGAAGTGGCGCAACATTTTGTGGACTGATGAAAGTAAGATTGTTCTTTTTGGGTCTAGTGGCCGGAGACAGTTTGTCAGATGACCCCAAAACACTGAATTCAAGCCACAGTACACTGTGAAGACAGTGAAGCATGGTTGCGCAAGCATCATGATATGGGGATGTTTCTCATACTACGGTGTTGGGCCTATTTATCGCATACCAGGGATCATGGATCAGTTTGAATACATCAGAATACTTGAAGAGGTCATGCTGCCTTGTGCTGAAGAGGAAATGCCCTTGAAATGGGTGTTCCAACAAGACAACGACCCCAAACACACCAGTAAATGTGCAACATCTTGGTTCCAGACCAACAAGATTGACGTTATGGAGTGGCCGGCCCAATCCCCGGATCTTAATCCAATAGAAAACTTGTGGGGTGACATCAAAAATGCAGTTTCTAAGTCAAAACCAAGAAATAGAGAAGAACTGTGGAATGTAGTCCAATCATCCTGGGCTGGAATACCTGTTCACAGGTGCCAGAAGTTGGTTGACTCCATGCAACACAGATGTACAGCAGTTCTCAGAAACAGTGCTTATACAACTAAATATTAAGTGATTCAAAGGAAAGCAAAATGTTCAAACATTTTTGAGTTTATATAGTGAATATTTGAGTTTGTAAAGAAGAATACAAACACTGCTATTTTTTGAACAGTCTAATATTCACTTTTCTTCAATTGTTTTAGAGGAACTACACAAATTTGATATATTTTTCTTCATGTTTTGATTTGGAATAGATTGTGTAGTGTTCCCAATTCATTTGTGTGTATGGAAATAAAAGCTATTAGAAGGATTTTGAGCTTTATTCACTTTTTTCAACACACTGCTATTATTTTGAACACAACTGTATATACATACATACACACACACATATACACACTTTTCTCACATCTTTTATTTAATTTATTTCACATAGATGTATTGCTGCATTACATAATGATTTTCACTCATACATAATATTTTGTGTGTGTGAGCAACTCATTGTGTATTTAATTAATAGCAAAATATAGTAAGTGTATAACATTATGGATTAATCATTAGTATATGGATTAATAAGTCATTTTACTTATCACATTAATTCATTTGGTATATCACAATTATAATTTTGCACACAGGTAATATAGTAGTCATCATCAATTTATCAAATTATCCAAAATATATTAAGTGTATAACATTATGGATTAATCAGTCATTTTACTCATCACATTAATTCATTTGATATATCACAATTATAATATTGTACAAGGTTAATATATTAATTAGTCATTAATTTATCCTAAGGGCGTGGCACTAATTAATATTCATGGAAAAAAAAAAAACGTGCTCAGTTTTTGTTGAATCTGAAAGTCAGAAGGTCCATGTCTGGTATTCTCTACCTGTGGGGGAGGTCTAAAAACACTTGAAGGTTAAGGAACTATTTCCTTTAGTCCAGGCATTGTCGACTGAGTTAGTATGCTTGCCAATTTTCCATGCCTATAATGTGTACAGTAAACAAGGCTGGAAACCAAACTGGAATGTGGCTGTCTTCTTTTTGAGCTGCAAGACTTCCGGTTCCTCCCTGATAGTTGACATATGCCACTTCTGTGCCTTTGATTTGGAATAGATTGTGTAGTGTTCCCAATTCATTTGTGTGTATGGAAATAAAAGCTATTAGAAGGATTTTGAGCTTTATTCACTTTTTTCAACACACTGCTATTATTTTTGAACACAACTGTATATACATACATACACACACACATATACACACTTTTCTCACATCTTTTATTTAATTTATTGCACATAGATGTATTGCTGCATTACATAATGATTTTCACTCATACATAATATTTTGTGTGTGTGTGTGAGCAACTCATTGTGTATTTAATTAATAGCAAAATATAGTAAGTGTATAACATTATGGATTAATCATTAGTATATGGATTAATAAGTCATTTTACTTATCACATTAATTCATTTGGTATATCACAATTATAATTTTGCACACAGGTAATATAGTAGTCATCAATTTATCAAATTATCCAAAATATATTAAGTGTATAACATTATGGATTAATCAGTCATTTTACTCATCACATTAATTCATTTGATATATCACAATTATAATATTGCACAAGGTTAATATATTAATTAGTCATTAATTTATCCTAAGGGCGTGGCACTAATTAATATTCATGGAAAAAAACGTGCTCAGTTTTTGTTGAATCTGAAAGTCAGAAGGTCCATGTCTGGTATTCTCTACCTGTGGGGGAGGTCTAAAAACACTTGAAGGTTAAGGAACTATTTCCTTTAGTCCAGGCATTGTCGACTGAGTTAGTATGCTTGCCAATTTTCCATGCCTATAATGTGTACAGTAAACAAGGCTGGAAACCAAACTGGAATGTGGCTGTCTTCTTTTTGAGCTGCAAGACTTCCGGTTCCTCCCTGATAGTTGACATATGCCACTTCTGTGCCTTTGTCCAACTAAATCCAGGTTGAATGACCACAGTTAAGAGGTCCAGGATTGAAGGGATAACAGAATCACTCAAAATTTCTTCTATGTTGACTAGGAGATGAGATTCCACTGGCGACAAGTCCCCTGCACTGATAAAGTGTTCACGACTCCTCCCTAGCCTCCCAGGCTGGCATGTGTCGCAAGAAACTTCCAGACCAATTTAATGAAGGATTTTCCAAATCCAGGGCTAGATTTGTGAGGCACCAGGTCAGGGATAACCTGGACATAGGGTATCAGGCACACACAAATGTCCAGAAAATGTGCCTTCTTGTCCCACAGATGTGACAGCAAACTTTGGGGTGGAGGGAGAGTTAGAAATTCTAGCGTATAACCCCAAAACTCCAGGTGATATAGGTGGTTGCAAAGGGTAAAAGACGTCCCCCCACTGTTGGAAGAGAGAGGATGTCAGGAATGGACTGGCCAGCAATAGTGGGACTCAGCTGCCTTATGAGCTGCAGTACCAGGGCTGGCCAGCGGGTGCTCCCCAGCAATCAGAGACTCAACCTTGCAGCCAGTCAAACACCTGGAACTAATTATACTGGTGTATTTAAGGGACATTCAGACCTGCAGACTCTGCCTTGGTGTTGTGTTTCTCTTGGGCCCTGTATCCTGTTCCTGCTCTCTGTTCCTGTCTGATTCTCTGCTGACCCTGCTCTGATCCCTGGCTTGTCTGACCATTCTCCTCTGCCTGACCCTCTGTACCACGCTGCCCGCTACCTGCTGAACCTGGCCTGTGACCCCGACCATTCTCCGCTTGCTCCCCCTGTACCTACCTGCCCGACTGATATTGACCCGGCCTGCCTGACGACGCTTGCATTGTATGTAGTGTTATCTGTGGGTGGTTGGTTGGTTTGTTTGCACTGTGTTATGTTTTAGTATTGCACTGCGTTTATGTTTGTATGGTTAGTGTTAATAAATTACATTGTTTATAACATATCTGAAGTCTGCGTTTCCCTGCGTCAGTCACACACCTCTGGTCATACCCGGGAGCCCTGACATTACACCAAGGCCAATCCTGACCAGAAGTGGCTGCACAGGGAAGCCATCTTGGCTTGTTGATGGGAAGGATGGATCTGGATGAGGTTGCGTATTTATATCTGCTAGTGTTTGATGACAGGGAGTATGCTTATCAAACTCTGAAGGAGTATACCTGGGATGAACTGCTAGAATGTATACGGCTCGCTCATGTTCTAGTAGATCAGGGCACAGAGTTCTCTGAGGTGCAGCCTTTGATTGAGGTTTGTGCTGAGTTGGTTTCATCTGGTACCCCCCGAATGCAGGGATGAATTTTTGCCACCATTTAGTGCAGACCAGGTAGAGTCCCTGGTGTGGTTATTAGAGGATGATGTGGGTTATTTTCTGGAGCGTTATTCCACATGTTCACCACAGACACTAAGAGATTGTATAAACGCAGTGCAGTCTTTGGTCAGACAGGCTTTGTGTAAGCTCAGCTTTGTTCAACCCATACTGCAGACATGGACAGACTTGTTGCACCCAGCCTCAGTCAGCTTACAAAAACCCAGTCCTGCTTCTAATCTATTTCCTCAAAACTCTATTCCTGCATTCCCAACAGCTCCTCCTGCCCTGCTATCTACCGCATGTCAGTACCCTGTTCCCACTCGCTGCACCTATCCTGTCTTTAACCCTGTAAAAAAGCCCTCTGTAGCAACTGCTCCCTCTCCTGTTCCATCCTCCAGTTCTTCTCTGTCTCCAGCTGCTCCATTCGTTTGCAGACCTGCGTTTACTTGCAGTGCTCCAGTAGTTAAAACCAGAAAAAAGCGAAAATTCTTTCCAACCAATACCATCCTGCCAGTATCCAAACCGGTGAACCTGCCTTCCGTGGTTCAGCCTGAAGCCTCTACTCAGCCTGAATCCTCTTCCCAGCCTGATGCCTGTACACAGCCTGATGCCTCTACTCGGCCTAATGCCTGTACTCGGCCTGATGCCTGTACGCAGCCTGAAGCCTCTACTCGGCCTGATGCCTCTACTCGGCCTGATGCCTCTACTCGGCCTGATGCCTCTACTCGGCCTGAAGCCTCTACTCGGCCTGAAGCCTCTACTCGGCCTGAAGCCGGCATTCAGCCTGATGCCTCTACCCAGTATGATGAACTGATCCAGCCTGACGATCCTATTAGGCCAGTTGACTCGATGCCCGCTGTTGATCCAGATGATCCGGTACCTGATCCGGTGCCCGCTGTCGTGCCAATTGACTCAGAGCCCGCTGTCGTACCTGGTGACTCGGTGCCCACTGCCTTGCCAGATGACGCGGTGCCCGCTGGCGAGCCAAATGACCTGATGCCTGGTGACCCAGTGCCCGCTGTCATACCTGGTGACCCGATGCCCGCTGTCGAGCCAGACGATCCAATGCCTGGTGACCCGGTGCCCACTGCCTTGCCAGATGACGCGGTGCCCGCTGGCAAGCCAAATGACCTGATGCCTGGTGACCCAGTGCCCGCTTTCATACCTGGTGACCCGATGCCCGCTGTCGAGCCAGACGATCCAATGCCTGGTGACCCGGTGCCCACTGCCTTGCCAGATGACGTGGTGCCCGCTGGCAAGCCAAATGACCTGATGCCTGGTGACCCAGTGCCTGCTGTCATACCTGGTGACCCGATGCCCGCTGTCGAGCTAGACAATCCGGTACCTGATGACCCGGTGCCCACTGTCGTGCCTGTTGACTCGGAGCCCACTGCCTTGCCAGATGACGCGGTGCCCGCTGTCGAGCCAAATGACCTGATGCCTGGTGACCCGATGCCCGCTGTCCAGCCAGACTATTCAATGTCTGCCCCAGTGCCCGCTGTCATGCCAGTTGACTCGGAGCCCACTGACTTGCCAGATGACGCGGTGCTCGCTGTCGAGCCAAATGACTTGATGCCTGGTGACCCGATGCCCGCTGTCCAGTCAGACGATCCAATGTCTGACCCAGTGCCCGCGGTCATACCAGTTGACTCGGAGCCCACTGCCTTGCCAGATGACGCGGTGCCCGCTGTCGAGCCAAATGACCTGATGCCTGGTGACCCGATGCCCGCTGTTCAGCCAGACGATCCAATGTCTGACCCAGTGGCAGCGGTCATGCCAGTTGACTCGGAGCCCACTGTCGTGCCTGGTGACTCGGTGCCCGCCGCTTCGCCTGGGGGCCCGAGACCTGTCGCTCCGCCGGGGGGTCCGGCGCCCGCCGCTCCGCCTGGGGGTCCGGCGCCCGCCGCCCCGCCTGGGGGCCTGAGACCTGTCGCTCCGCCTGAGGGCCCGAGACCTGTCGCTCCACCTGGGGGTCCGGCGCCTGTCGCCCCGCCTGGGGGCCCGGCGCCCGCCGCTCCGCCTGGGGGCCCGATGCCGGTCGCCCCGCCTGGGGACCCGATGCCGGTCGCCCCGCCCGGGGGCCCGGTGCCTGTTGCCCCGCCCCAGGGGCCCGGTGCCTGCTGCTCGCTCTGACCGGTGGCCTGGTGCCTGTTGCTCCGCCTGGGGGCCCGCTGCATGCTGCTCCCGCCTGGGGGCCCGGTGCCTGCTGCTCCGCCTGGTGGCCCGCTGCTTGCTGCTTCGCCTGGTAATCCGATGTGCCTCTGCCCGGAGTCCTGCCCGATGTGCCTCTGCCCGGAGTCCTGCCCGATGTGCCTCTGCCCGGTGTGCCTCTGCCCGATGTGCCTCTGCCCGGAGCCCTGCCCGATGTGCCTCTGCCCCGGAGCCCAGCCCGGTGTGCCTCTGCCCGATGTCCAGCCCGATGTGCCTCTGCCCGGAGTCCAGCCCGATGTGCCTCTGCCCGGAGTCCAGCCCGATGTGCCTCTGCCCGGAGTCCAGCCCGATGTGCCTCTGCCCGGAGTCCAGCCCGATGTGCCTCTGCCCGGAGTCCAGCCCGATGTGCCTCTGCCCGGAGTCCAGCCCGATGTGCCTCTGCCCGGAGTCCAGCCCGATGTGCCTCTGCCCGGAGTCCAGCCCGATGTGCCTCTGCCCGGAGTCCAGCCCGATGTGCCTCTGCCCGGAGTCCAGCCCGATGTGCCTCTGCCCGGAGTCCAGCCCGATGTGCCTCTGCCCGGAGTCCAGCCCGATGTGCCTCTGCCCGGAGTCCAGCCCGATGTGCCTCTGCCCGGTGTGCCGCTGCCCGGAGTGCCTCTGCCCGGAGTCCAGTCCGGAGTGCCTCTGCCCGGAGTCCAGCCCGGAGTGCCTCTGCCCGGAGTCCAGCCCGGAGTCCAGCCCGGAGTGCCTCTGCCCGGAGTCCAGCCCGGAGTGCCTCTGCCCGGAGTCCAGCCCGGAGTGCCTCTGCCCGGAGTCCAGCCCGATGTGCCTCTGCCCGGAGTCCTGCCCGATGTGCCTCTGCCCGGTGTGCCGCTGCCTGGAGTCCTGCCCGGTGTGCCAGTCTTTGATATCCCGCCAGTTACCAGACCCGGGCGGTGGAACATTTTGCCCAGCTAGGACTGTTTGGAGCGTCCTGAGGCCACTCCTTGAGGGGGGGGGGGGGGGGTACTGTCAGGAATGGACTGGCCAGCAATAGTGGGACTCAGCTGCCTTATGAGCTGCAGTACCAGGGCTGGCCAGCGGGTGCTCCCAGCAATCAGAGACTCAACCTTGCAGCCAGTCAAACACCTGGAACTAATTATACTGGTGTATTTAAGGGACATTCAGACCTGCAGACTCTGCCTTGGTGTTGTGTTTCTCTTGGGCCCTGTATCCTGTTCCTGCTCTCTGTTCCTGTCTGATTCTCTGCTGACCCTGCTCTGATCCCTGGCTTGTCTGACCATTCTCCTCTGCCTGACCCTCTGTACCACGCTGCCCGCTACCTCCTGAACCTGGCCTGTGACCCCGACCATTCTCCGCTTGCTCCCCCTGTACCTACCTGCCCGACTGATATTGACCCGGCCTGCCTGACGACGCTTGCATTGTATGTACTGTTATCTGTGGGTGGTTGGTTGGTTTGTTTGCACTGTGTTATGTTCTAGTATTGCACTGCGTTTATGTTTGTATGGTTAGTGTTAATAAATTACATTGTTTATAACATATCTGAAGTCTGCGTTTCCCTGCATCAGTCACACACCTCTGGTCATACCCGGGAGCCCTCAGGACAAGCCCTGAGGACTTGTTTGCAGGTTTGGAAGTTTTTGGAGTCTAAGGTTTTCAAGGTAACTGAGTAAAAAAAAGAATACATACAGCTCACCCTTTTTCAGGCACATCTTCCACCCATAGAAGGGCACAAAAAAGAGCCTTCTTTGTAGGCAAAAGGCTGTGTTAGAAAAGCAAGTATCCAGCAAAGCATACTACTACTTGCCATCCTGGTCATACCATCAAGACCATTCCAACACACAAGTTAATAAGTTCCTTAATGCTCCACATGGCTCAGTATCTAGCCTGCACTATTTGACTATTGACTATTTATAAACAGATACTAGATAGAACGAAAAAATCCACAGATGTGGGAAATTACCATTATTTTTTTACCTGTGTGTGTCACCTTATGTGTCTGTACCAACGCCAAACAGTCCAATTTTTATGTTAATATTATAGTTTCATTACCTTTCAGTGTCAATTCTTAAAGTAAGCCAAAAAGTCTATCGGTTTAGAGTGCATGCCATTAGCAAGCTACAAAGCTTTGCTACTATACAGTTGCAAGAAAAAGTATGTGAACCCCTTGGGATTACGTGGAGTTTTGCATGAATTGGGCATAAAATGAGCTCTGAACGTCATCAGTCACAACAATTGAAGAACACAGTCTGCTGAACATAATACTACACAAACATTAGATGTTGCCATGGTTTAATTACACATAACATGTAAACATTCACAGTGCAGGGAGGAAAAAGTATGTGAGGCCCTAGCTTAATGACTTCTCCCAGAGCTAATTGGAGCCAGGAGTGAGCCAACCTTGACTCCAATCAGTGTGATGATATTGGATGTGTTGCTGAAAGCTGTCCTGCCCTTAAAAAACACACACCTGTTTTGGGTTTACTGGTTTCAAGAAGCACTGTCTGATGTGAACCATGCCTCGCAGAAATGAGCTCTCAGAAGACCTAAGATCAAGAATTGTTGACTTGCATGAAGCTGGAAAGGGTTACAAAAGTATCTCCAAAAGCCTTGATGTTCATGCGTCCACGGTAAGACAGACTGGAGAAAGTTTAGAACTGTTGCTACTCTCCCTAGGCGTGGTTGTCCTGTAAAAATGACTGCAAGAGCACAGCGCAGAATGCTGCATGAGGTAAAGAAGAATCCAAGAGTGTCAGCTAAAGACCTACAGAAATCTCTGGCACATGCTAACATTTTTGTTGACACATCTACAATAAGGAAAACATTAAACAAGAATGGAGTACATGGGAGGACACCACGGAGGAAGCTATTGCTGTCCAAAAAGAATATTGCAGCACGTTTGAAGTTTGCAAAAGAGCACCTGGATGTTCTACAGCTCTACTGGCAAAATATACTGTGGACAGATGAAACCAAGATTGAGTTGTTTGGGAAGAACACACAACACTATGTGTGGAGAAAAAAAGGGCACAGCACACCAACATCAAAACCTCATCCCCACTGTAAAACATGGCGGAGGGAGCATCATGGTTTGGGGGTGCTTTGCTCCCTCAGGGCCTGGACGGATTGTTGTCATTGATGGGAAAATGAATTCCAGAGTTTATCAAGACATTTTGCAAGAAAACGTACGACCATCTGTACGCCAACTGAAGCTCCGCAGAGGATGGGTGATGCAACAGGACAATGACCCAAAGAATACAAGTAATTCAACAAAACAATGGCTGCAACAGCACAGAATACGCCTTCTGGAGTGGCCCAGTCGGAGTCCTGACCTCAACCTGATTGAAATGCTGTGGCATGAACTTAAGAGAGCGATTCACACCAGACATCCAAGAATATTGCTACACTGAAACAGTTTTGTGAAGAAGAGTGGTCCAAAATGACTCCAGATCGTTGTGCAGGTCTGATCTGCAACTACAGGAAATGTTTGGTTGAGGTTATTGCTGCCAAAGGAGGGTCAACCAGTTATTAAGTCCAAAGGTTCACATACTTTTTCCTCCCTGCACTGTGAATGTTTACATGTTATGTGCAATTAAACCATGGCAACATCTAATGTTTGTGTAGTATTATGTTCAGCAGACTGTGTTCTTCTATGTTGTGACTTAGATGACGTTCAGAGCACATTTTATGGCCAATTCATGCAAAATTCCACGTAATCCCAAGGGGTTCACATACTTTTTCTTGCAACTGTATATACAAAATGTATTATATTTATATGTTGCTTTACCAGAAATGATGTACATACCAATCATTCATTACATTACAAAGCAATGGTAAACATAATAAACATTCAGACCACTCCCCAGAGGCAACTGACAGGCAGTAAGGAAGCAATCCAACGCCTCCTCACTGTGTTTCAACCCCATTTTTGGCAACAATCGTACCACACCTTGGTATGGCTGTGGGGCGTTCATGATGCTTCCCTACTTACTTTTTCCTCTGAATCAACTGTGGGTATAGGATTATATATATATATTTTTTTTTTACTGGTTGAACTGGATGGACTTTTGTCTTTTTTCAGCCAGACTAACTATGTAACTTGAATGTGTAATGTTCGGCAAGCTTGCCGCCCACTGAACGCTGCATGTCGGGTAAGTTATGCCACTAGCGGGAACCTAAACAATTGCTGCCGTGGCATGCACACATCCCCTTCAGTTGCTTATTGCAGCTTAAGGGGTGGCTGTTGGCAGGCAGCAGAAACGCAGCTCAACCATGCATTTTTAGCTCCCTACCTCCCCTAACTGCAAGTTTAAATGGAGTCCAAGAGTTTTGATCACTGGCAAACTAAAAAGACGTTAAGTCAGCCCCTTTACAACCACACCTATCCCTCAGATTTGTGAGCCACCAATACATAAGATTGACAACATACTGTAGATGGGCAGGACCAGTGGCCCTCAATGTATTTCAAGAAAAAGATTTTATGGTAAATTCAATAATCCTATTTTCTTTATCATCCACTTAGAGATAAATCAATACTTAGAAATTTGAGGAGTCCAAAGGCAATTCAACTGATGGGTAAGCAACAGCCACAGAGATCAAACAGATGTGTAATCTTACTAGAAGATTATCCAAAGGACACAATGCATGAACAAAGACTAGATTAAAAATGGGTGAGTAAACAGAATTACTACAGCCAAGAAAAGGTGCTGAGAACCAATTTGTTGTGTTCCAGAGCAGGGCTGGTAGCACCACAAGGGGGAAACTGCTACCTGAAAGAATGATGACGCAAAACAATTTTGTGAAGAACAACCGATTGTTCATTATAAAAAAAAAAACAGTGAACAAGACATCTTTCAAACATATTTTCTGCATTCTGAGCACAAAGTCAAAGTGCTCTATGCATATAGACAGACATCACTGCCATGAGAGAGACAAATTTAGATGCGTCTAAAAGGTCATCACAAATGAAGTGCAGTACCTCAGACATTTGATCCACCAGTTCCAGAACACAAGAGTTTTGCGATGTGTTGGAGGAGTCCATTGTGACATGGTTTCACAAATCAGCAGAGGACAGAGAGTTATTCGAGTTAAGTGAAACTGAAACCTAGATAGGGAGTCCAACTGGATATTATTGAAATACTTAAAAGTAGAGACTCCATCAACCTGTGTGATGGTATGTCTGTTAATTTGGAGAACTGGAGGGAAGCTATGATTGCACAAGATGTATCCAGCGCTCAGAAAGGAACGTTTCAAGTACTGAATGTATGGTGAAGCTTTTTGTGGCAGCACAAGCTCTAAAAGACCCTATACCTAGTACAGCAGGTTAATTCCTTAGATGCATGCCACAACATACTGCATCTTCAGATTGGACACAACAGATTGAACATCAGAGTTATATTGG